ATTTGGGTAATAAATTAGATTTCTGGCAAAGATTTTTTTGTGTCTGTTTACTGAAGACATGGGCTGAGCAAACCCTTGCTTCTCATTGTTATTAAATAACTTTGCTGTAATGCAGATTCCCAGTATGTGAAAGCAACATCAGGTTGGCTTTCCTCTCAGTAAAAGAACATCCTGAGGACAGGAGCCTGTAATTGCTCTGCCAATATCCTGTCTGTGCTGTAGCTAAACAAGATGCATTTGTCAGTGCTGTCAGTCTGTCTCTTTCCCCTGGAACTAACATTTGCTCATTAAAACCAGCTAAAAAACAGTGAAGGATGGAAGTTTGAACCAGCATATTGCAGCACAACCCAATTATTTTCATTTTCAATGCAAATTTAGATTCAGCCATATGTCCATGCTCTCTAAGCTGTGGGTGACCCTGCCTTGTGCACCACAGTCTCCAGTCAGCCACAGAGGCAAAACAGAACTTGCTGATCTAGCAAACTGTGTGCTGAGGTGTCAGTTCCCACTTGGTTCCTGACTTATGTGCCAAAATTACAGCACTAAAAATGTCTCTTCACTTCAGTGCCTAAACTCACAGCTGCCTAGCACAGCACATCCACAGATGCCTAATGTATGTGTTACCTGCAGGGCTCATAGTTCTGGCAGGTGAGGGTGCACCCCAGCCCTGATTCTGAGGAACTGCTGCCTGGTGCCCCAGCCCTGGAAGGATTCAGAAACTGGTTGTGCTCCTCTTCCAGCTCAGCAGCAGCTCTGCTCTTGCAGGCTGGGTTGGACCACATACAATTGCACCCTCTGTATGATCTGACACCAACACTGACAAATGCCCCACTTTCAGGCTTACTAGCATGCTGAATGGTTTAATTTGAAGAAATGCAATCACAGCTCAATCCTGTCTCTGTTGTCTCCCTGGCAAAACCATTACTTACATAAATATATGAGCCAAAAACAAATGGAAATTAAATAGTCAGGGAAGGATGATTCTGTTTGAAGTAAGAATTTTTTTCTTCTTGTTTGTGGTGGAAATTATTTTCAAAGCACTGGGAATGAAGAGAAGGAGAGAGAGAAAACAAAGGAAGTAAAAATAAAATAAAAATAAAGAAAAATTAAAGAAGAAGAAGAAGAGGAAAAGA